TACAGTTCCTATGTCAGCCTGGTTTTCTTTTAATTAAGAACTGGATAAGAATGTAATATTTTAAATAAAACTACATCTTGTTTCTAAAGCAGCAGCAGCAAAGTCACAATAAAAAGTCAATAATATCTCACTGGAATCCAATTTAAAATGTCAATAAAATAAATTAGATTCCTGACACCAAAATACAATAACAGTCATTCATCCTGTCCTCTGTCCTCGTGCATGTTTGCATAGCGAGGACGATAAAAATGCGATGTATCGTTCAGCCCTCGTGCAAAAACATGGCGCCCAGAGTTGAAAATTTTTGCAGCTTTTTGGCTTCACTAAGTCATAAAATTAAGAAGATAACGGACAAGAGAGATATGAGGCTGTTTTTACCAAAGATGGTTTCTGTCACTTTAGGCAGTTCTTATATAATAAGTTGGGTTTTAATTAGTTATTTGAAGCTATAAAAAGAAGGTATGGGAGGACTTTGATATTGCGTCGCCAACCCTGATCACTGTGGCTCCTAATTACGTCACCAGTGTAAGATGGCAGAGGCCATATTTGGGATATTGTGGCTTAATTTCTGTACAGTGGGAGGAAGTAGGGGATGCGACATCCATCTTTGTTGATGGTTGTTACCAGGGAATTGTTTTGTTATATTTAAAGCATCCCTGGTTCCAGAAGTAAGTTAAGTCCTGTTAATTCTTCCTGTAGATAATATTGCGTCACTCACAGTTCTTCTACTTGCTCATCAGGACAAAATATTAATTATTAATTACATTAGAAAATATCTTGTTCTTTGATCAAATATAAAAGATACTGTTTCAGTGCTTTGACTGAGGACCAAGTCTTTCCACATGAGCCCATGTTCAGGATTTGTTGGGATTCTGGGATTTACTCAGCAATGTTATTTCCAGATCACTCAGTAAACATGCTCCTTGGACCTCAGGTTAAGTGTGTGAAGTGTCGCTGTGACTGCAGGACAAACGGCGGCGATCCACCGCGATGGAGCAATAAAAAGGCGAGGCAGATAAAACAGGAGAGATGAGAGGAAGAGATACCGTCTCAGAGAGGCTCTTTGTTTCGCTATCTCTCTTCCTCCGATGCTGGCGGCCGGCCACACAATTTCCCAAAGGTGACACAGAGCTCCCAGTGTGTGTGAGTGTGTGTGAGAGAGAGAGATTATGGCAGAATCAAGACGGCACAGGGAATCTGTATTAAAACACCACCTGAATCCACACATGGGAGAGAGAGAGATAAAGATAGCGACAGAGGGAGGTGGCAGGTGAAGAGGAGGAGGATGACTAGAGATAAGAAAAAGGGCAGAATATCCTTTTGAGGCAGCCTGAGGCGTAAAAACACACCTCGGGTCTCGTGTTCAGTCAAGCCCCACATTCTTAACCTGAACACAAGCCCCAACACATTGAGACGGAGACAGACTGAGAGAGGCGAGATACCAGCTGAGTTTCTATCCCAGCTGTGCGACGATTAAAGACACATAGAAACAGAAAATGTGGTCAGTCTGTGTGATACAGAAACATTTAGCAGAAGTGACCTTAACAGGTTGAAAAAGAGAAACTTATACTGTGTTTTAAGTACTAATTATTAGCTCAGCCAGTGGAATATCGCGTCCTGGGCTGCCCCTATGAATTACATATTTAGTTGGTATCAGGATTTTTTGACGCAATCCCAGTATTTCAAGGAATTTTTGCTCCCTTTTCCAAGAAAAATACCGACTGAAACCCGGCAGTTTCATCATGTGGGGACTGTGTGTTGTGTTGTGAATATACTGAAACAAAACCTCATTAATGCTTCTGTGCAATTCTCTGAGCTAAATATTAGTCCAATCTTGAAATATCATTATTATAGTAATACAACATTTCAGGTGCAGTTGCTTTTCATACTAAAACAGCACCTTCATATCACACAGAAGTTATCGTAATTACCAGTTTCTGACTAAATATGTCAATATCTAAAGCGTCTGTAATCATAAGGACGTGAACCCTTGAAACCTGTCAGTTCTCGAACTATCTGTTGCATGTGTGAACGAAGCAGAGTGAATGATCTGGAAAAGAAATGAACAGACAGATCAGCTAATTGTTCAGCCATGTCTGCAAGCCTCCATTCACAAATCAGAGAGCCGAGCGGCATTCAGCGGGTGAAGTATTGAGTGCACAAGACAGCACTGACGTTACAACTAAACCTCCAAGAAAACAACGATCAAAGCCGCCCTCACAGTGCTGGACCTTCGTGCCCAAACACCGCCGGCATTAATGAGCTCAGGTCAGAAAGGGAAAAAGGACCGACAATGAGAACCGTCAAGTACGAGTATGTGTTGTGGGAGTTAAAGAATAATAAGAACAAAACAAACTCTCCAGGTAAATTTAGAGCTAAAAAAAGGTTGGAAATAGTTTCAAAATCTGTCCCAATTGAATGTCTTAGATTATCTCTGCGTTATATATGAAAGAATGATGTCAGACAAGTAGGATGAACTTAAATTTATGATT